GCTTGTTACTTGGGAGAAGAGACCGACCCCACCTCGCTACAACCTCCTTTCAGGTAGTTGTAGAGAGCGATGAGGTCTCCCCTCAGCCTCCTTTTCTCCAGGCTAAACAGTCCCAGTTCCCTCAGCCGCTCCTCATAAGACTTGTGCTCCAGACCCCTCACCAGCCTCGTTGCCCTTCTCTGGACACGCTCCAGCACCTCAACGTCCTTCTTGTAGTGAGGGGCCCAAAACTGAACACAGTATTCGAGGTGCGGCCTCACCAGTGCCGAGTACAGGGGCACGATCACTTCCCTACTCCTGCTGGCCACACTATTTCTGATACAGGCCAGGATGCCTTTGGCCTTCTTGGCCGCCTGGGCACACTGCCGGCTCATGTTCAAACAGTTTAAATGTAATGTTTCTTTCATGCTCTAATCAAACCAAATCCAGAAATTTCTATTTTGATTATTTTAAAATTAAAACAAAATTTGTTGCATCTACATTAAAAATAATTTCACAAATTAAATCTCTGTTGTGTGACCCATATTTTTGTCCATTAACCACTTGCAGTTAGCAGAGCTATAGCCACAGCCCAGCCACACACACAGCACATACGCTGTGAGAGGGTCCAAGCATGCAAAGGCAGATGCTGGACTCGGTACCGTCAGCTTTCCTTTGCCAATGCTGAACCAAGCAGCCAGATGGGAAATGAGTCATTAACACACCACAAAGCCCCTCATTCATATTTAGTGGAAGCCAGCTAAAGCAAAAACAGCGCTCAGGCCCTGCAGGGCTTCAGTCACCCAGCCTGTGTCAGGAGCTTGCACCGGCCGGCTCCCCAAACCCACAGCAGATTAAAGCTGTGCCAGGAGAGATGCACATCCCAACTGGTGGCAGTTAAATAAAAAAGCTTTTTCTGTGATGGCTTTCACATGGCATTTGTTGGGATTCAAACCTGTTTAATGTTTCCCAGTCTTTCCATATGGGCACGGCAAAGCCCCGCTTCCCTGCCCACCTGGAGAGCTGCCACCCAATGCCCTTGAACCCCTGATTCACGTGCTTTTGCAAAACTTCCCCTTTCATTTCTGAGTATGAGGCAATCTATAAATTGAAATCAGAGCAGCTGATGCAAATATCTTTAATGTTCTCATTCATGACAATTTTGAGAGCCGAAGGCTGTTTTCCCTGTGAGGTGGTCATCTGCCCCACAGATTCAGCAAACGGAGCAAGCAAGTTTGTGGTAGCAAGCAAATATTTGTGGTACTGAAAGTTGGAAGTTAAATGGCACTTGCTCACACATGTAATCTGTACTTTACTCACACTCTACTCACACGTAATCCTTATTCCTGCAAGCACATCGGCTGCTCTGGTCCCTCCTAGTGACCATTGCAGGGTCCGGGATGTCCCTGCCCATCCCTGCAGCACATGCTGCCTGTGCCTGGCAGACAAAATACCACCTGTGATGCCACAAGTGCTGGGTTTTGCCCATAGAGAGACATTATGTTCTTCTAATAATTGCTTTAGTGGAAAGGACTGGTCCCTTTCTCACCTTTCCCACAAGGCCCTAGGGATTACAATCTCCTTTTGGTCAGGGCTTCATTTCAGAGACTGCGTTGTTTTTTTTTAATGCTCACCAACGTATTAAAAAAAATTAAATGTGTCCCTGTATAGAAACTATCTGCCAAAGCAGCACTCAACCCAGAGGAGGAGCGGCATGGGGAGCCAGCGATGTGCTCCCTCCCACCCGTACAGCACAACGCAGTGTGCTTCACCCTGGCGCGTAATCCTGGGCAGAGCATTCCCTAGGGGGGCAGGTGCTCAAATAACTCCTACCAAATACGTGTTCTTGGGACTGGAGCTCAGTTCCCTGTCTCATCAGGGAATGCTCTAACCGTGAGTCATGCCAGCAGCTCTCTGGGTATCCCCAAGCACTCGAGACTCTGACCTGTGCATCTCAGTAAGTATTCTCGGGTATTGAATCATTAGCTGGCTCAGCACCAAAAGTGTGAACACTTTTCCCATCCTGCTTCTTCAGGATGGGGTGAAGGGTTGAATCCATCACTAATGTGATTCAGACAATCATGTTGCATCAAAGAAATGCAAAAAAAAGTTGCGCTGTTGCATCTCCTGGTCAACCAATATCAACGCTCCTGTTTTTTTCCCAGGTGCATCACCACTGCCAGGTGAAATGGTGAATACAAAACCAGCAAGAAGAGAGCAAAACTACAGTCACCCCTTTCTCCCATCACAGCTGTCCTCCTGCCTGCCCATCAGGTCAGAGCCACAGCATCTGAACCCACAAGAGCTTTTGCACCCCCAGACAGGAGATAAAAGGGACAGATGAAAGAACAATGAAAAAGCACCCGGAGATGAGAAACGCTGCAGTGAGTGGAAACAGAAAGTGAGAGCAAAAGAGGGGCCATCAAAACTGCTGGCAGCTTGGCAGCGCTGTGCTCAGCAGAGGCCAGCGCTCCCTCACCGCACACGAAACCAGGGGCACCACTAGCACCAGTCACATTACTCACCCACGTGTTTTCAGGGCTAGGAGGGCAGAGAAGACAAGGAGACAAGGGAGGATCCCATGGGGGTCCTGAGGTCCCAGGGTGATGGGCAAGACAGGCACCACTGCTCCGTGCTCCGATGGAGGGACCAGGGGACTGAGGTGGTGCCCCAGCCCTCGGCACCCACCTCTCCGCACTGCAGCACCATCCAGCCCCATGAAGGTCCTCACAGGAGCTTTTTATCTCTATTAATGTTATAAAACTTTAAAACAAAACCCACAGGGTTGATGGAGAGTTTTACCCACATCACCAATTCTGTTTCTGTGGGTAAGGGTTCCTGGATCTTGCTCACATCTTTTATTTTCTGTAAAGCATCGCGAGCTAAGTATGGCAATCCCTTAAAGTGACAATGCTAAGACGGGTGCTGACATTCCCTTAATAGAAAGCTTTGTAGTTAACCTTGCAGTAAACACAGCCAGTTGATGATGGGGAAAAAAAATCAGCTCCTAGATCCAATTGAAAAAGCCGCTGAAAGAAACTTGGGATAAAAAAACATAACTCTTGTCTTATCTCAGGCATACGTTGATTCAAAAAAACCCCTGCCTTTCCCCCCATGTTCTAGGATGCTCTTCAAACAATCCTCCCATTTCAGTGTGAGAAGTTCCCTGGCCAAAACGTAACCATTCAAAATACATGTGTGCTTTTTAGGGAGCTACGGCACCTATCCAGCAGTTACCACCAGCTCCATCCCTTTCCTGGAAAAGGCTGGCATGTGGATTCGAGCTTTGGAGTGGAGCCTGGAAATAACATTTGAATTTGGGAGTCCCCAGTCTGGCTGGCCACCTAAGAACACAAAGCTGCCAGGCTGTCACCTGAAAGCCAATGGCCAGAAACCCGCAGTGAAGAGCAGAGATGCTGCAGTACACAGCACGGTCACAGGGAAAACTGCACAAACTCCGGCGATGGTTGGAAGAGAGAAGGGCCAAGAGGTGCAGGTGATTAACACCCAGGATCTTATGGGTTTCAGTGCGCTGACTGTGGGTTCAGGAAAGCCACTTTGACACAGAAATAACATTTAGTTATGTAACTTTAGCTTTCAAATCAATAAAACTTCAGCACATGCCTAGGGTTATGCATTTCAGGGGATTCCTCGATGAATAAGCACCAACAGCCAAAAAAACACCAGGCAAGTTTCAAGTCTTTGCTTTCCCATTTTATGGAGCCATCGGTTCCCAACATAAATCAGAAGCAATGCTTCTGTCAGTGACACTATTTTGGTGAGATATCTGACTCCGGATCTTCTGAAAAAATTATCCAGGAGCAAAAAAATGATCCATGATCAACCCTCCATATGTTCTGAGAGCGGTAAATAGTATAAAAATTAGTTTTACTTACTGAAGCATCCAGAAGTCTTATTCCTCACAACATTTTGCAGTTCTTTTTATGTAGCAACTATCTACAATTAACTGTCAGCCTAGCTGTGATATAATCATACTGCAGCTTTAATTTTTTATATATATAATTATTGCATAATTATATATATAAAAAATTATTGCATAATTATATATAATTATAATTACAGGGAATAGGACTCTCCTACAAATAACCCATCTCTTCCCATTGAAGATATGTTAGAAGTTGCTATATGACCTTCACAAAGGGTTTGGGAGCTGGCCTGCTGATGAAGAAAATTCACGTAATTTGACAGGTTACAGGAGAAGTAACACTGCACAGCCGGAGAACCGGTTAGGAAATATCCCTCCCCACCCATTTCACTGCAGCACACAGCTGGCAATGGAGAGGGCGGCGTGTGATGTTCATGGCTCTTCATACGTAGCTTACTGTGAAAGCAAGGTGGCCTTCATTTAGCTTGGACTTTGAGAGCAACCATGAAGACAAAAATTAGATTGCTATCTATACAATGGGAGAGGAGGCAAGCCAAGATTGAAACAAAATGTCAGCACACGTTTCCAGGAACCTCACAGTTTTTTAGAACAGTGTGGCTGGAGAAGATCTTATTTCTCATCACTCGCATATACAGTCCTCAAAACTAAACTGAACTGAGGGGTTTGGGGGTTTTGGTTTTTTCTAATTGGGTTTCTTTATTATTATTGTTTTTCCTTTCTTTTTCAAATAGGATTTTTAAGTATTGGTTTGGTTGAGTGCAGTGTAGCCAAGAACAGAGTTTCATCCAGTTTTGACTACAATAATGTTACAGTTTTATAGCTAGACCCAGAATGGTTCTCATTTTTCTCTGGAGGTTAATTTCAGCAAAAGCAATTTATGATTGAAATAAAGCCAGCGGAACTACATTTTTTCATGTAAAATCACACATCTAACAGTTTTAATAGACTATGGTATGCAATTACTGCACTGTATCTCTAAATGCGTACATGATATATCCCTATCTTTGTTGCTTTAATAACACATGCATCGCTCCACCTTCATAATCCTTCATCTGCCTGATGAGATGAGTACCCGAGATCAAGACACAATATGCAATAAAAAGGACATGGATTTTTCAATTTCCAAAGAACTTGCTTTTCACTTTTGGATGCTGCTGACGTAGAAAATATTATTATGTCTAACTCCCCAAAATAATATTAATATTAGATGTTAGGCTGTATGTAATCACTAGGGAACGTCAAAGCCCAGCCCACAGATCTACAATTATTCCCATTTTGCAGCTAAGGCAGAAAGACCGTTAGTGCCTGGGACCAGCCCAGCCCGGGGACGGCAGCACCAGCCCCGATGCTGAGGTGTGTTGCTTCCCCCTCCTCCGGGCTGGCCACGAGACCATGCTTGCCCTGAGCAAAGCAGACAGACACAGAGCTGCTGAAAGAGCAGACCATGCACAGTAATTATCGAGATGCTTCATTCAGACTCAAGACCGGTCAAATATAGGATGCTTTGAGATGAAGGAGGCAGAGAGATGGATGAGACTAGGAATGAAAAACAGATATAACATCTGCCCAAAATAAATGTATCATTAAGACTTTATTACCTCATTGCTAGGACCCAGCAGTTAATATCTTATACGTCACTTTGAGACAAATCTCAATAAAAAATGCCTTACACAGGCGTGCGCTCACGTTCAGTCCACGACCAAAACACGATTGCAGTCAGGCACAGAATACAGCTATGGTGCAAATCGGGCAAAAGGAGCAGAAACCGGCCAGGCTCAACTCACCACCCATCCAAACTAGCACAACCACCATGTTAACATCGTGTTCAGCACCTGCCCTGGGGACTCTCACCACAATACCTGTGGGATTGCTGCTCCGGGGGGATTTGGGTCTGCAGAGTGTGATTACAAGTGCTGGAGCTTCGGCGGGTCTCTGGATTTATCATCTCTGGTCCTGCAATAGGTGTACAAGGATCTTCAGCAGCCTGGCATGGCAAGGACTTCCATTTCAGATGCTGTCAGGAAAATAAATGAGTGGTGACGATGGTATCATTCGGGCATGGTTCTTTATAGATAATTGAGAAAAACCTTCCTATTTGTAAAACAGCAAATGTAGCAACATTCAATTATTTCTTCTTCTACCAGGAAAGAAGTCACCTACCAATATTAGGATATATTCCATTTTATCAGCAAACTAAACCCACCCTGTGTTTCAGTAATACATTACCTAACCATTGGGCTGAGGGAACACTGACCAAGAAAGCATTTCTGCTTTGGAAACACCTGTGCAAAAACAGGACATTCCTTGCAAATTATCTGTGAGCCATATATCATAAGAGATAGAAAGTACATGAAGAAAGCAAAATATAGCTCAAGGTTTTGCATAAAAGGGAATCAGAAGTGTCCTACTTGCATGGCTGTCCTACATGTGTAGCCTGTATTTTTCAGTCCCCCACAGCTGGGGGCTGCTGGGGGGCCCTTTGGAGGTGAAGTCCTCTGGGAAGATGCTCTTGCTATCCCAGCCAGCTTTCAGCAGCACATATTGGACACCCTCTAGCCCCAGTTTTTGCCCCTACCTCACCGCCTCAGGACACAAAGAAAACCCTCCGGGAGCTGAGACTCAGCAGCAGGAAGGAAAGTCCTCTCTCCTGGCCCATGAGACCATTGAGAAGAGGCACCTCCACGCACAGCTTCCCTTGAGATAATTGTTCTGTGCACAATGCCCATTCAATAGCAGCTGCATTCAGAGACCCCTGGAGGTATTTGAGCTAAATATTCCTCCTTTCGAACAAAGAACCCTAACTAATATCCCAGTACATGCCCAAGTGCAGCACAGGAAAGCCATGAACAAGAAGCTGTCCAAATTGTGTGTCAGCACCCCACCTGAAGAGAAACCTCATGCCCTGCTGCTCAGGGCAACGCTGACTGCGCATTGGGCAAAGAAACCTGGAAAGCTGAACTGATGCCTTTTCAAGAACACGCATGCAAGCATATTCCGAAGGTCTCTTTCACTTCTGTGTCAGAAAAAAAAGGTCTCCTACACAAGACCAAAATCACAGCCCACAGTCTAATGACTAGTGCAGAAATGGAAAACACACAGTGAAACTGGAAAATTATGCAGTGCTGGTATTCTAGCAAAGTAAGTCTCTAGACACACCACAACCTTCTTATGGGAAACAAGATGTCAATTAAAATAATCTGAAAATGCGATATAAAACTCTTGATTCATCCTGCTCCCTTCCAAGTCGATAGCAAAACTCCCATCGACTTCATGACAGAACTGATGGATAGAAAAGTTTTCTACAGCATTTTGGCCAAGCTAAGAATGGCCACGTGCAATATGAACTAATATTGAAATATTTGGCAATTATACCAGATATATCAGCAAAAAGCAAGTTTCCAGGCAGGTTTTCATGAATATTCATTAACGACATCTCATCATTATAGTTTGTAATACTAAATAATGGAAATGGAAAAGCTTATCTATGTGTCATGCACATACTTTAAGTAGTTCTTATTTTTCTGTAAGCTCGCTGCACGCTGCATGCAAAGGGAATAGTCCTGGGTAAGGGACTTCCAGCCTCCACAAGTGCCCAGATCTGCCCCGCAGCATCCTCAGCCAGGCTCAGGCGCCGGCAGGGACCCCAGGAGCGGGAGCTCCGGGCCACCCCCCCCGCCCCGGGA